ACTGTTGCCACAAAGTTGGAAGCACAGAATCGTCTAGATAGTCATTGTTGTGGCGTTAAGATTTCCCTTCACTGGAACTAAGGGGCCTAGCCCGAAGCATGAACAACAGCCCCAGACCATTATTCCTCCTCCACCAAACTTTACAGTTGGCACTATGCATTCGGGCAGGTAGCGTTCTCCTGGCATCCGCAAAACACAGATTCGTCCGTCGGACTGCCAGATGGTGAAGCGTGATTCATCACTCTAGAGAATGCATTTCCACTGCTCCAGAGTCCAATGGCGGCGAGCTTTACACCCCTCCAGCCGACGCTTGGCATTGGGCATGGTGATCTTAGGCTTGTGTGCGGCTGCTCGGCCATGGAAACCCATTTCATGAAGCTCCCGACAAACAGTTCTAGTTGTTTCCAGAGGCAGTTTGGAACTCGGTAGTGAGTGTTGCAACCGAGGACAGACCATTTTTACGGGCTATGCGCTTCAGCACTCGGCGGTCCTGTTCTGTGTGCTTGTGTGACCTACCACTTCGCGGCGGAGACGTTGTTGATCCTAGACATTTCTACTTCACAATAACAGCATTTACAGTTGACCGGGGCAGCTCTAGCAGGGCATACATTTGACGAACTGACTTGTTGGAAAGGTGGCATCCTATGACAGTGCCAAGTTGAAAGTCACTGAGCTCTTCAGTAAGGCAATTCTACTGCCAATGTTTGTCTATGGAAATTGCATGGCTGTGTGCTCGATTTTATACACCTGTCAGCAACGGGTGTGGTGAAATAGACAAATCCACTAGTTTTAAGGGGTGTCCACATACTTTTGTATACAGTGTAGATATGTACATGTAGGCAGGGATTAGGAGAAAGTAACTGGTAGCAGGATAAATCATAATAATAATAGTAAACAGTATGGCAGCAGCATAGGTGGTGAGTGAGTGTATTGTGCAAGAGTGTCAGTGTAGCCGTGATAGGCAGATATACATGTAAACAGGGCTGAAAATTACTGGTAGCAGGAATACATAAATACCTATGGTAATATATACATGTAAACAGGAGTAATAGTGTCCAGTAGCAGGCTAAATATACTGAACAAAAATATAAACGCAACATGCAACAATTTCAAAGATTTTACTGAGTTACAGTTCATATGAGGAAATCAGTCAATTAAAATAAATTAGTTAGGCCCTAATCTATGGATTTCACATGACTGGGAATACAGATATGCATCTGTTGGTCAAAGATACCTTTCAAAAAATGGTCCTCAGGATCTCGTCACGGTATTTCTGTGCATTCAAATTGGCATCGATAAAATGCTATTCTGTTCGTTGTCCGTAGCTTATGCTTGCCCATACCATAACCCCACCATGGGGCACTCTCTTCACAACGTTGACATCAGCAAACCGCTCGCCCACACAACGGCGGTTGGACGTACTGCCAAATTTTCTAAAATGACGTTGGAGGCGGCTTATGGCAGAGAAATTAACATTAATTTCTCAGGCAACAGCTCTGGTGGACATTTCTGCAGTCAGCATGCCAATTGCATGCTCCCTGAAAACTTGAGACATCTGTGGCATTGTGTTGTGTGACAAAACTGCACATTTTAGAGTGGCCTTTTATTGTCCCCAGCACAAGGTGCACCTGTGTAATGATCCTGCTGTTTAATCAGCTTCTTGATATGCCACAGCTGTCAGGTGGATGGATTATCTTGGCAACGGAGAAATGCTCACTAACAGGGATTTAAACTAATTTGTGCACAAAATTTGAGAGAAATAAGCTTTTTGTGCATATGGAACATTTCTGGGATCTTTTATTTCAGCTCATGAAACATGGGACCAACACTTTACATGTTGTGTTTATATTTTTGTTCAGTGTTGATATACTAATGGTAATGGCAATCAATAATCAATTAACAGCAGCGTAGTGGTAGTAATACATCTAATCAATAATCTATTTAGCAGCAGCGTAGGAGAAGCCTATCTACTGTTTCTGTAGCGTGAGGCAGCTTGAAGTACAAGTACACCCCCTGGACAGGATGCTAGTCTATCATAGGGCCTTACCCCAATTCTTTCTCCTAATGCTGAGTGCCAAGCAAAGACGCATTGGTTCACATTTTTACAGTCTTTGGTATGACTCGGCCAGGGATCGAACTCCCAACCTTCCAATTTCAGGGCGGACACTAACCGCAAGGCCACTGAGTTGGTCGTAACGTAACGTATTGTATCATACTAAATGGAGGGGAACAGATTTACGTACCAAATCTTACGAATTTCCCCGAGGCCAGGTTGGTAATATTCAATGTGTTCTATACAGCTCTAAATGTTGGTGTTGCTTGTTTTTCCAAACCAAATCTATTGGTTGCTTTCTCTTTCAGATGCTGTAAATGATACTGTCCAGAGTCTTGACAATGGCCACTGAGGATCCCATGGAACATTCAGCAAGAATAGGGACTAGGGGGTGTTAACCCCTGTGTCTTGGCCAGATGCCCAACTGGCAACTCCTACTGTCTTGGCTACCTATAATCTATTTTGGTTCGAATTGACTATCCCTGCCTGACCTTGTCGTCATCCCTTTTGCTGAATAAAATTGCAATGGAAAACACAATTTGTTCCGTTTTCAATTACACAACACTATATCACAACAACATTTGAAAGGTTTTCACACATGCTTTCTTGCGGCACATGAAATAGACCTATGTTGCTATGCCTTGACCTGGAGTACTGATCCCACTTTCATTGTATAGCTGATATACTTTAATGCCTAAAAGTACAGTACAACTGATGCTAAGACAGTAATGAGCCGGGCTTTGACACTGTGCGATAACACAAATAACAGTTTCTGAAGCAGGTAAAGTTTTACAGATTAATTTCCTTCCCCCTTTGAGAGAAAACTGCTACATTCGGAGTTGCACCTAGTTGCACTCCTCACCAAGCCAACAGCCTTCACCTATCCGTCATTCAGAATGCCTTTGTATGGGACTAGCGATCCCGGTTACAGCAGCATGACGGCCAGAACAGGCCCCAGGCTCTTAATCAGTCTGGGTGGTTCTGAGACCCTCACACTGTTGATGCTGAAGCCTGAACCAGAAGCATCCAAATAGCAGCCCATGTCCAAGGAGGAACTGAGGCTTGTGGCTGGGGGACCAGGGTGGAGGAAGGTGCATTCCAGCCTGTTGCTGATCTTCTGGCTAGGTTGACTGGCCATGCTGGGCGCCACTATAGTCATCATAGCACAGGCACGGAGCCCTCGGCCTGTTCCACCACATCTTCTCTGGTGGCAGAGGACAATGTTCTTCCGCCTGCAGCCAGCCTCGTTCATGGACATAGAGAGCGAGAGACCAGGGGGTATCAGTATGCCCTACCTGAAGTCCCTTGGGGTGGGGGCTCTGATTCTGGAGGGGCGCCGCGACGTCTCCCCTTCTGACCTCACAGAGATGGACGAGGGAGAGTTGACAGTGGCTGAGATCCAACAGCTTCTCATGGAGAGCCACGAAGCAGGCCTCAGAGTCGTGTTGAACCTCTGTGACCTGGATCTGCTCAGACCACGGGACACTGAGGGTTACGACACAGAGGTTCCCTCAGGCCTCTCCAGGTCAATACAGTATGTCCTCCGATACTTGTTGAAGCGGGGGTGACAAGATTTGGAGTCTGTGACACAGATCCTGCATATTCAGAGCAGACTCTGACAGAGTGGAGAGTTGTGGTCTAGGAGTTCAGCTCAGAGGACGATGACAGGAAAGTGATGGTGAGACAGACAGGAGTCTCTAACTGCCTTGAATGGCGCCAACATCTCATTATTGGATTTAGTTGTGAGGTCACTGCTGCCACGCACAAATCACGACTTGTCCGGACAGGAAGTGGCTGTTGCCATGGAGAGACACCTGCAAACACATTTTGTAGAGTCTGATGGTGGGCAGTGGTGAAGCATCACAGGGGCTGTAGGGGGTACTCATGTTTCTGGTGATGACACTACCTGGAACACCTGTTTTCAAATGCAGCAAAGAAATCAGCCATTCACAGAGCATGTCTGTAGAGGGCAGGGCACGTGATCAGAGCAGACCAATGGACAGGGGGATCCTCAGGGGGAAAAGGGGAAACTCAAACGCTCCACCTTGGATCTCTTCCGCTCCCTCAGTTGCTCCCGGTCCAGAGAGGAAACCCTCCTTTTTGGCAGCTTCACCTTCCTCCCTTTCAACACTTCCTCCATCCCCTTCTCCTCCTCCTCCTCCACCTTCTACCCAGCCCTGCCATCGCCCCCCATCCTAGCCTTCCTATGCTCCTGGAGCTGTGTTCACTTCCTGGAAACACTGAGGCTTCAGCCACAGAAGGCCGTTGTCATCAAACTGTATGAGTCTTGCAGCTAGTCAGCCTACTGGACTATGATTTTATGGACTATAAATAATGTACATTCTACAGTAATTAGAAATGGATTATGTGAATAAAGTTTGATCATCTGACTTCAAATGGTGTTTAGTCATTAGCATTCTTACAAATCAACTTCCTTGTTGTTGTGAGAGACCTTATTTGGCAGAAAGTGTTTGGCCAAAACTGCCATATAAAGAATGTCGTTCAATTCTGTTAATTCCTTCAACATTTCAATTTCTCTTAGTTTGATTCAGATTACAAAAGTCAGGTTACAAGTCGAGCGGAACAGAGGTTTTCATCAAATCCAAAGACCATGAACCGTCACTGTCTGATGATGTGGTCCTCTGTAGCTCAATTGGTAGAGCATGGCGCTTGTAACGCCAGGGTAGTGGGTTCGATCCCCGGGACCACCCATACGTAAAAATGTATGCACACATGACTGTAAGTCGCTTTGGATAAAAGCGTCTGCTAAATGGCATATTATTATGATCTTCATGCTCTGTTAGTCATTGTAAGTATTCAAATGTATTCAACATTTCCTGGATGGTTGCATAGTTTAATATTGTACCAATGACCATTCAGTCAGGATGCTTTCAGCACCTGTTATTCAGCTTGATTACTCTTATAAAAAGGGAACACAGCTGGTGGCTCAACTGAGAAAGTGCACGTTAAGACTGTACAGCACCTTTCCTGCATCCACCATCTCGCTGATGTCATCCAGGGCAGGTCCGTTGGGTGCAAACATCCCCCAGCGATAGTGCACTCCCTTGGATAAATGCTAGGAGTGACAGAGGAGAAAAAGGGAGATGAACAAGGTTTTGTACCCTCAAATAAAACAAAGACATTAATGTTGGTGTTGTTTTCCACCCATACACAGACTAACATGCAGATGCTTAAGTCAAGATATGTGTCTCAGATGTACTATATACAAACTTATACAAACTACAAACTTCACATACAAACTTATCAGTCCATAATTAGGTTGAGATTATTACCAGTTTATAACTCACTCCTAACTATGGGCCTATAAAAGAGAAACATACATATGTAGATGATCACCTTTGTCTGAATCTCTGGTTACATTTGCCTTCATTGCATGTGGTATATCCATGGTTTATAATGCTACTCATTACAAATGCATTGGTTTTATTCTTCTGCTGTCGATCACTCACTATACCATTGAGAGGCAGTGTTGGCACATACAAGGCAAGACACCGACCCACACAGACACAACGGCATCCCTGGCTGTATCAACAACCTTCTATCCCAGACACCATACACACAAACGCGCAGATTCATTTTTTTTTTTAATGAGGTGACATTCTAACCCAAAGAGGACTGTCTAAGTCTAAGGGTCAAAGTATGTCAGGTGACAGGGCGTGGAGCACCCCTCTTTCATGAAGGCATTTCCTATTCATTATTTTTCCCAGCATCGAGATGGGATTCCAAAAGGAGACGGCTGAGTGCTAGGGTTTGTGGGTCGTGTCTCAGGAGGGTGTGGTCCAGGGGAAGGTTACTCAACATAAAGCCTCTGGGGAGATAATAGGATTTTAAAATGAGGACAGTTCAACTGGCAAACCGGTTGTCTGCACTTTAGTTCTCACTACGCTGTGCGTGCACTATGAACACTAAGAGTATGTGGAGAAAGAAAGGTTGGAACTGAGAGGGTGGATTATTTCCTGTCTGAACCCACAGACTACATCGGCAATTCATTATTTTCCACTTTGAGCTTTTGCATTCAGTGCTGCTCATCAATGCTTTATTCTACCAGTGCCCAATCTTCTGCTCCGTGGCCACATACAAACTTATGACACACACAGTTAACAGAGTTTCAATGGTTGGAAGGAGAAAGACATGTTGAGGAGAGCCACTGTGTGTGAATAGGATAACCGCTGTTCCTTTGGAACTCATTTAGACACCTAACAAACCAGGTGAACATACACTATCTGTATTAGTAATAGTAAAACAAAATATGCCTCCAAAGTGTCTAACCCCCAAACCATTGGTAAACATTTAAACATTAACCAAATCTGTTAATGTACATTCTACAGTAATTAGAAATGGATTATGTATTCCTGTCTGAGGGCTGTTTCCATGGAGATGCTAGGCCAGGGGTTTGAGGAGCGAATTGTACCCTGTTGTAACATGCTCCCTCTCTGGGGACAGAGGCCTTCTCTCTACCAAAACTACCCAAGGCCCACTAATACTGGGCTGGCCGCGAGATCAGCTCGACACTCCCACAACATTGCAGCCAGCTTTGTTTCCCCAAAGCCTGAGGGCCATGTTTTCCCATCGTTGGCCCCGGACATTAGAGGGCCCAGGGGGCTCCATTACTGCTAATCACTTTGTAGGCTATGTCTTGGAAATGAGAGATCATATGTTCTAGAGAGTGGAGAGAGACAGTAAGGGAGAGGGGAGAAAGATCTGTGGGTGTTCAAAAAGGGATAGATAGTATGGGGTGTTGATAAGGTGTGTTGACTTAATTCCCCCACCTCTTCTATATTCTAGCCAAGGTCTGACTCTTTCAACTGTTAACACTGTCCCGGGACAAACCCCATGGTACAAATCCACCATGCCATTCTACCTATAGTTGGGTAGAAGAACGGTGCATGTTTCCATGGGGTTCCCCCAAGACAAACCATGTCTTCACACACCCACCTTGTCTTCAGTTTCTATTTCCCAGAGTCATTGTCTTTCAATTTCTGTTACTAGAAACTATTACAGTACTGATAAAGTGAGAACCTTATGGCACTGGAGTACAATGTGTTCAAGTCCTACTTTTGCCTAGAAGTGCTACAGTCGTGGTCAAAAGCTTTGAGAATTACACAAATATTAATTTTCACAAAGTCTGCTGCCTCAGTTTTTATGATGGCAATTTGCATATACTCCAGAATGTTATGAAGAGTGATCAGATTAATTACAATTAATTGCAAAGTCCCTCTTTGCCATGAAAATGAACTTAATCCCCAAAAAACATTTCCACTGCATTTCAGCCCTGCCACAAAAGGACCAGCTGACATCATGTCTGTGATTCTCTCGTTAACACAGGTGACGAGGACAAGGCTGGAGATCACTCTGTCATGCTGATTGAGTTAGAATAACAGACTTGAAGCTTTAAAAGGAGGGTGGTGCTTGAAATCATTGTTCTTCCTCTGTTAACCATGGTTACCTGCAAGGAAACACGTGCCATCATCATTGCTTTGCACAAAAAGGGCTTCACAGGCAAGGATATTGCTGCTTGTAAGATTGCACCTAAATCAACCATTTATCGGATCATCAAGAACTTCAAGGAGAGAGGTTCAATTGTTGTGAAGAAGGCTTCAGGGCGCCCAAGAAAGTCCAGCAAGCGCCAGGACCGTCTCCTAAAGTTGATTCAGCTGCGGGATCGGGGCACCACCAGTGCAGAACTTGCTCAGGAATGGCAGCAGGCAGGTGTGACTGCATCTGCACGCACAGTGAGGCAAAGACTTTTGGAGGATGGCCTGGTGTCAAGAAGGGCAGAGAGGAAGCCACTTCTCTCCAGGAAAAACATCAGGGACAGACTGATATTCTGCAAAAGGTACAGGGATTGGACTGCTGAGGACTGGGGTAAAGTCATTTTCCGATTGTTTGGGGCATCCGGAAAAAAGCTTGTCCAGATGCTACCATCAGTCCTGTGTCATGCCAACAGTAAAGCATCCTTGCCATAAGGCAAAAGTGATAACTAAGTGGCTCGGGGAACAAAACATCAACATTTTGGGTCCATGGCCAGGAAACTCCCCAGACCTTAATCCCATTGAGAACTTGTGGTCAATCCTCAAGAGGCGGGTGGACAAACAAAAACCCACAAATTCTGACAAGCTCCAAGCATTGATTATGCAAGAATGGGCTGCCATCAGTCAGGATGTGGCCCAGAAGTTAATTGACAGCATGCCAGGGCGGATTGCAGAGGTCTTGAAAAAGAAGGGTCAACACTGCAAATATTGACTCTTTGCATAAACTTAATGTAATTGTAAATAAAAGCCTTTGACACTTATGGAATGCTTGTAATTATACTTCAGTATACCATAGTAACATCTGACACAAATATCTAAAAACATTGAAGCAGCAAACTTTGTGAAGACCAATACTTGTGTCATTCTCAAAACGTTTGACTACGACTGTACAGTATTCCAGCAGTGCTGTACTAAATGAATGTAATCAGCACATCACAGTTCTGGTTCTCCCTGATAAGACTCACATAAACATACAGCTATCTGTACTTCTTTGCGATTGTGTGGTGAGGTGTTGAGTGGGAGTAAGAAAAAGTGGAAGAAACTTGCTAGGCACAAAGCCTCAAATGTACTGCACATTTTGCGGTCTGTACACCACAAATGCCAACAGGATGCCAGTGTCACTCTGTCAGGGTTGGATGACAAGCAAGGGGAGTGAGATGGGATCTTGCCTTATAAGTCTTGTAAGTACTTTACTGCATATGTTCAAGGCAGAGGTCTTATATGGTTCTGTGATCACCTGTATGAATACATTAAATAGAGAAACACTGCCACAGTTACCTTGAGGGCCTTGGATGCCACAGTGACCCCGGTCTGGAGCATTCCATCAGCGATACCCAGCCGGTCCGTGTTACGGAGGAAGGGCGTTACCAGTGTTACGTACTTGGCACCGCACCACGGCTTCAGCAGGCCCAGAGCCCAGTTCTCTGTGTCCCCGCCCACATTATCAAGAACCAGATCAAACCTAGGACGGGGGGAGTGGTAGAGAGAGATGGAGAGAGAGAGTTCATTTCATTACATGGAGGGTCATATTTTCCCACACACCAATGACAGTTTACTATGGCTATGAGAGAGAGGTGCTCAATCCTCGATTACAACTAACTGACCCATGAGTTTGTGTGTCTGAGCTCACTTTTCCAGCGCCCTCAGGGGCACCTCAACAGGCCCAGCTGTGTAGTCCACCACGTGATCCACCCCCAGACCCCTCACCAGCCGCTCAGCATTCTGGGAGCAGGTTACTGTCACATGGGCTCCCCAGGCCTTCAGCATCTGAGATGAGAAAACAGGATCTACATCATCATCAACACACTCTTTGAGGTACCTGGAATGAGGTTGATAATATCAGTAAGACTTGTGTATAGAAGTGAGCGAGGGTGCAGCCGGTATACATATAATCTCTTATAACAGGAGAGATCAGATGAACCAGCCCTGAAATACTAATGTAAGATAGATGTGCAGATTGAGGTCACAGCAAAAGGGTGAAGTGGCACACTAGGTCACCCGATCCCAGACGAGTGTATAACATTACTGACATAATTATAAACAGCTTTCTATGGAACAGAATTTATATGATTTATATAATTGTTTGTTTATGATTAAGGCAATTTTTTTCCACCATTGTTTGTATTATGATCATGTAGCTATCGTCACTGCGATGTGGTTTGAATACCTAAGATTGAAAGTAAACTTCAAGTCACATTGAAGATTAGGTCATGAATCTACAGAATGAGAACATCATGGTTATCATCAGCATGATCACCTGTATGGAAAACGTTCCGACTCCTCCTGAACCTCCCAGGATCAGAATGCTGTATGAGGACGGAAAACAACGGATTAAAACACAGATAAGTAAACACAAATTCATAATGGAGACAAAAGTATGTCCCTTTAGTAATCCAGGTTTTTGTATTTGACTTTGATATACATTTAATGTGTGTACAAAAAACACACACACATTAAACTAAGTGTACAAAACATTACGAACACCTTCCTAATATTGAGTTGCAACCCTTTTTCAATCAGAACAGTGTCAATTCGTTGAGGCATGGACTCTACAAGATGTCAAAAGCGTTCCACAGGGATGCTGGCCCAAGCTTCCCACAGTTTTGTCAAGTTGACTGGATGTCCTTTGGGTGGTGGACCATTCTTGATACACACGGGAAACTGTTGAGCGTGAAAAACCAAGCAGCGTTGCAGTTCTTGACACACTCAAACCAGTGCGCCCAGCACCTACCTAACCCTGTTCAAAGGCATTTACATATTTTGTCTTGCCCATTCACCCTCTGAATGGCATACATACACAATCCATGTCTCAATTGTCTCAAGGCTTAAAAATCCTTCTTTAACCTGTCTCCTCCATCTATACTGATTCAAGTAGATTTAACAAGTGACATCAATAAGGGATCATAGCTTTCCCCTGGATTCACCTAGTCAGAAAGAGCAGTTGTTCCTAATGTTTTGTACACTCAGTGTATATTTACATTTTAGTCATTTAGCAGACACTCTTATCCAGAGCGACTTACAGTTAGTGAGTGCATTTTTTTTTTTTTTTCATACTGGTCCCCCGTGGGAAACGAACCCACAACCCTGGTATTGCAAACGCCATGCTCTAGTCGCTCTTCTGTCTAGCTGGATTGCCCCTACGCTCAAAATGTGCTGCAGGAAATTGAATTTTTCCCTCTGGGTTGATTCTCAATAGGGGGAAACACAGTTCCGACTGTTCTAATACCCACCAGGGTTGGAGCCAATTCCACCTAAATTATAATAAATTATAATTTATCAAAGTTATACACAAAAATGTGTTCAATTGTTCTATCTATTGCATGTGAACCAGGTGATTCAAAGTGCCAAGTCCAATGCCATGCCAGCCACTGATGAAGCCCATTTCCAAAGAGCCAACTACGCCCACAGTCCAATTCCCTCCACATGATCAGTACCCACAGGCCTCATTCAGACAGCCTTTTTATGAAATAACCAAGTTGAATAATCAACTAGATCAAAGACATGAGGAGTTTTTAGATGAATATGGACAACAGCATGGGTTAGAAGGGGAAAGAGACAACTTGAACTCAAAGTGGCAGGAGACGTGTGTGTGTGTGCGTGGGCATGTGCGTACTTGCCGTTTCTTGGCACAGTTGTCCTTGTTGAGGCCTCCTGTGTTGACCAGGGCAGACAAGGCTGTGGCAGCCACGTAAGGAACAGCCGCTGCCTCTATGTGACTCAGACATTTGGGCTTTTTGGACACCTGGCTCGGACACAAAATGGCACACTCAGGACTCAGAAGTAGGTCACATATCTGTTCATCCTCCAAAATGTTAAGGTAAGGATTAGGGGGAAGAGAAATCTGATCCTAGATCAACTTCTACCTTGAGCCTGATAAACCTCCCACCAAACCTGTCACTATCTGAAATGGTTCAGTAATCATCCATTAAAAGTTATGCATAATGATGCCAACTCAGAGCTGACTAGTCTGTCTGCAGTCCTAATTGCTCCTCCTCTTCACATAGAAAGGCCAGTGTTTCCCCTATATGCATTTAGCAGTAGCGCACCGGCAGCAGCGCACCGCCACATTACTTATACATATATAATTTTGGGGATGGTTAAATGTTTTCAGTGTGAACTTAAACGACTAAAACTAGATATAAAGTATGAAGAAAAAATTATTGAGCAATATATTTAACAGTGCCTGTAAAACCACGCCATTGGCCACGCCCACACCCACTACTACGCTAATCAAAGGGGAAACACTGACAACAACCTCTCCCTCAATGTGAGCAAGACAAAGGAGATGATCGTGGACTACAGGAAAAGGAGGGCCGAACAGGTCCCCATTAACATCGACGGGGCTGTAGTTGAGGCACGACAACACCTTTTCCCCCTCAGGAGACTAAAAAAGATTTGGCATGGGTCCTCAGATCCTCAAAAAGTTATACAGCTGCACCATCGAGAGCATCCTGACCGGTTGCATCACAGCCTGGTATGGCAACTACTCGGCATCCGACCGTAAGGCGCTAGAGAGGGCACTGTCTACGGCCAAGCTTCCTGCCATCCAGGACCTATATACTAGGCAGTGTCAGAGGAAGGCCCAAAAAATTGTCAAAGACTCCAGTCACCCAAGTCATAGACTGTTCTCTCTGCTACCGCACAGCAAGCGGTACCGGAGCGCCAATTCTAGGTCCAAAAGGCTCCTTAACAGCTTTTACCCACAAGCCATAAGACCGCTGAACAATTAATCAAATGGCCACCCAGACTATTTACATTGACATGTATTTGAATGTAGAAATAAGCAAACAGTGGTTTGGAAAACAAACAAACTACAACATCATACATAAATGGGTCAGAAACAAAACAGTACCTCATTTGCACTCAACACCACAAACTCAGCCAGACTGCCTTGTTTCCATGGGGGAATGGCTGCCCACACCTGAGAAGAAAAACAACAACAATGGCTTAACCAACCATGCACTGGTATGACCCTGCATGGGTGGCACAGATACCAAGATTGTGACATGTTTTATTCTCTGTTTGGATATACACAATATATACAAAAGTATGTGGACACCCGTTCAAACTGGTGGATTTGGCTATTTCAGCCACACCCATTGCTGACAGGTGTATAAAATCGAGCACATAGCCATGCAATCTCCATAGACAAACTGGCAGTAGAATGGCCTTACTGAAGAGCTCAGTGACTTTCAACGTGGCACCGTCATAGGATGCCACCATTCCAACAAGTCAGTTCGTCAAATTTCTGCCTCGCTAGAGCTGCCCAGTAGGTGCTGTTATTGTGAATTGGAAACGTCTAGGAGCAACAACGGCTCAGCCGCGAAGTGGTAGGCCACACAAGCTCACAGAAAGGGACCGCCGAGTGCTGAAGCGGGTAAATATCACCTGTCCTCGGTTGCAACACTCACTACAGAGTTCCAAACTGCCACTGGAAGCAACGTCAGCACAAGGACTGTTCGTCAAGAGCTTCATGAAATGGGTTTCCATGCCCGAGCAGCCGCACACAAGCCTAAGATCACCATGCTCAATGCCAAGCGTCGGCAGGAGTGGTGTAAAGCTCACCGACATTGGACTCTGGAGCAGTGGAAACGTGTTCTCTAAACTGATGAATCACGCTTTACCATCTGGCAGTCCGACGGATAAATCTTGGTTTGGAGAACGCTAGAAGCCCAAATGCATAGTGCCAACTGTAATGTTTGGTGGAGGAGGATAACGGTCTGGGGCTGTTTTTCATGGTTCAGGCTAGCCCCCTTAGTTCCAGTGAAAGGAAATCTTAACGCTACAGCATACAATGACATTATAGATGATTCTGTGCTTCCAACTTTGTGGCAACAGTTTGGGGAAGGCCCTTTCCTGTTTCAGCATGACAATGCCCCTGTGCACAAAGTGAGGTTCATACAGAAATGGTTTGTCGAGATCGTTGTGGAAGAACTTGACTGCCCTGCACAGGACCTTGACCTCAACCCCATCGAACACCTTTGGGATGAATTGGAATGCCGACTGCGAGCCAGGTCTAATCGCCCAACATCAGTGCCTGACCTCACTAATGCTCTTGTGGCTGAATGGAAGCAAGTCCCCTCAGCAATGTTCCAACATCTAGTGGACAGCCTTCCCAGAAGAGTGGAGGCTGTTATAGCAGCAAAGGGGGGACCAACTCCATATTAATGCCCATGATTTTGGAATGAGATGTTCGACAAGCAGGTGTCCACATACTTTTGGTCATGCAATGTATGTTATGTTTACATCCTTTGATGGGATAGTGTTTCACTGACAATGCATCGCCCCATTGGCTGCAAGCCACGGGCCCAATAAATGATGCTACTTGTCAGTGAGGGGATTCGATTAATCTGGCCCAGGCTCCCAGGTTGGTATGTTAAGTGCCGCCCTATGTTAAAAATGTAAATATAATTCATAGCAAGCAGTGCACTGGAATGACATTCACACTCATGGGATGGGTGGCCGAAAATAACTAACTGTAAACCACACCCCCATTAAGCCACGAATATGATAATATTGATGCATACAGTATGTCACTGTGATTCTATGGTTATATATATTTATTTATTTTTCACCTTTATTTAACCAGGTAAGCCAGTTGTTAACAAGTTCTCATTTACAACTGCGACCTGGCTAACATATATTTATAACATATATTTATAACATATATACACCATGCCACTGCCTACTTCATTTATTAATTTAGCAAACAAGAAAGCTCATAATCCAGTTCCTTTATCACAGTCAACACATCTATATTTGAGCTTTAAAATGAAACATTTTCTCTCAGCCTCATGGCAAAAATGTGTACAATAGCATGAGATTAGCTATGAAATTGCACATGTTCTTCTCTGCTCCATGGCAAAAACTGTAGAATTGTAGGAAATTAGCTTTAAAACAGTAACATTTTCTCTCAGCCTCATGTCAAAATGTGTATAATAGCATGAGATTAGCTTTAAAACTGCACATGTTTCTCTTTGCCCCATGGCAAAATGTGTAGAATTGCAGGAAGTTAGATGTGTTTTTTGGCCCACCTAAAGTTCTGCAGGCCCCCCCACAAACACATTTCTGGCTACACTACTGCCCCAAGGTGGTGCAATTAAATGTAGCATTATACAACAGCTGTGCTTCGATTAAGTAAACAAAGCACTAACAGAAGAGACAAAAAATAGACAGCGCCTCACTGTCACAACATGCCACAATGACATGACTTCATGAAGAGGAACTGTGGAGCCACATAGGCTTATAGTATAAATACACACACAGGCACACACACACATGCACACACAAACAAATACGCAGAGCCACACACCGAACCCATCCCGCAGAAAGTGCCGCCCTATTCTACTCCATCCTGGGGCCTGTGTTTGTGTTACCTCATCCCCCTCTTTAAAGTAGGCTGGTGCCACATCCAGACCACACTCCATGATGACTCCGGACATATCTCGGCCCAGAATGAGGGGGAACTCACTGCCCGACTGGTTGATGTTCAGGGGGTCTCTCTTCATGGCCATGGTGGCAGCCCCATACCCACCTGAGAGGGCAGAAACAACACAGAAATTAGGCCTAACACAATTAGAAATAACCACAAAAACAGTACATGTGGAGACAAGTGGATTCAGTTACGAACAAGATGATGAGAACACAGATTAGCTGGCAAGATCATCACTGAATACACCGAGAGGTAACCATCAAGAACTCCAAGCACCCCACATCCTCAAAGAGCACATCTAGGCCTAGCTGTGGTTTAACAGTCGCTGAGTGGTGGGAGCGAGTAAGGAGTTGATGATTAACAATTAAACACCCAAACCACATGTTGCGTCACAGTCTACTTTCCCTTTGCGTCAGAAGAGCTTTACTCGTTTCCTGGGGTGATCCATTCTGCCCACATAGCTCTCTCTCACACAGACCATATTTGAATGGCAAAACATATGCTCAGTCAACTCTGAGGGATGTTGAAATTCCTTTTCACTAGTGGTGTGCACAAATGTGAAGATGTCTTGCATCTGTCTTCATATTGGTGCAGGAGCTCTACAATACGTTTGAGCTAATATTCTATAAGAGGAACAGGAGCTCAAGCAGTAGAACGTTTGAGGTGCTGGTACTCCGGTGAGCTCTTGCCCAAGTCAAGCACAAGCTATATGTAAAATATCTGATAGTCTATGTTCTCTAAGAACTGAAGGTTATAGGAAAACCACTGACATGAAGCCTACAAAAAAGTTACATCAAGGGAATCAAACGAGCTAGAAGACCACATATCTTTATCAGGCACCAACCTCTCATGCTGACGTCAATGGGGTTGAGACCTGCGGCATGGACTTTGACGATTACTTCATTCGGATAGTTGATGATTGGGAACCCAGCGTTTTTAGTGAACCGTAGGACATCATTGCTGCCGTATCTATCGATAACCCAAGCAGGCATGATTGTCATACGGCTGTTTGAGGTGTTGAACAGTCTCCTCTGATCTCCATGGAACAATGTTTTTACACATGGTGCTCTACTATTTAGGAGACACGACCATCGACTGCACGCCAAGTGTCTCAAAGGATGCATGATTATGTTCAGATATCAATTGTCAATACACTTGCTCTTCAATCGTGTACTATGCATATGATTTATCAAGCAATGCACGCGACTACAATTAGCTAAATTACTGATATCTAATCTTTCCTTTCATTAGACAATGCAAAGTTGCAGATACTATCGTTTTTACAGTCTGGAAGGACAGCGTTCACTTCGCTCTGCACTCATGCTGCTTCCTCGTCTACTGCTGGCAGCGTCTGACAGTTTCTATTCAACCAATGGTAGTGCGGTTTACTCATCCCCCATCCAGTCACAGAGCACGATGTTGAGATTCCAGAAGCGAAACAAACATGGCAGCCCCCTGTCGCTGAAGGTTGCTGTAGATTTCCCAGGTTGATTTGATACATGACATAGAAAGCATGTTGAGCTTATCTATAAGAGAGGTACGTTTAATCAACTCGTTACTAGTAACATGAGCTAGTTTGTATTTGGCGTACTTTATTGGCAGTAACGACTAGTCTGCTTGTTGCAATGTAATGTAGCTAGCTAACGTTAGCTAGTTACTTAGCTAGCTACCTAACGAAAGCTAGCTACTTAGCTAGCTACCTATCAACTGATGCAAAGCCTTAAACTCAGGGTGTTAGCTAGCTAGCTACAGTATCACATCTAAAACATCAGTTTATTAGTCCACATCCCCACAGAGACATGGTTAAAGTTGAATGGCAAAGATTTCCAACCATTTCAGCAGTGCCCTGTATGTTGATTCTGTCATGTTGATTCAGCAACCATAATGTTCACAAAATGGAAATGGTGATTATTATAGAATCATACACATTTTACATTATTTGACAGGTGTCCTTGGCTCTGAGGGAGGGTAGGATCTCCCCCACGGAACTGTGTCGAAAATGCCTGAACCGCATCAAGAAAACTCACCATCTCAATGCTTACATCACTGTGACAGAGGAGCTTGCATTGAAACAGGCACAGGAGGCTGAGAGTAGGCTCCTCAAAGGTGTGTGTTTCCTGTCTATCTGTTTGTTTCTGTGAGTTGTATGTGCATGTGTTGTACAGTGCAGATTATGATCAGGTCTTGCCTTATTATCTTTCTTTCCTACAGGTGCACCCAAAGGTCCATTGGATGGGATCCCCTTTGCTGTGAAGGACAACTTCTGCACAGAGAACATCAAGACCACTTGTGCCTCCAAAATGCTAAAAGGTATGTCTGCTAACATCTAAAAAAGGGATTCATTGCTCCTCATTTGAGTTGGGTTCAAAAAAAAAAAAATAAAAAAAAAAAATTGATCATGCAAATCGCCTGCTGTCTGTTTTGTAGACTACACTCCTCCATACACTGCTACAGTGGTTCAGAAGCTCCTTGATCAGGGTGCTGTTCTCATGGGGAAAACTAACCTGGATGAGTTTGCAATGGGGTAAGCATCTTAAACACATTTTAAGAACTAAACATACACTAAGAACTATATTTATTTGCAGAATTACTAAAGTATTATCATCTTCTGGCCTTCATTACATCCCTCCCTCCATCCTTCTCCAGTGCAGGCAGTACTGACAGTGCTTTTGGACCTGTCCGGAACCCCTGGAGCTACGCCGCCCCTTACAGAGAGAAGACTGGGGCTGACATGGACTCTGACTGGGTCATCACTGGAGGCAGCTCTGGAGGAAGTGCTGCAGCCGTGGCCTCTCTCACCAGCTTCCTGTGAGTCTGCAGACTCAGGGCTACGTTCAAGGGCTTTGGACTGTTGCAAACTGAAATGACAATTTAAACACAAAAATTCTGTATTGTTTCCTTGTTCTGGCACTTGCAGCGCTTTAGGGTCGGATACAGGTGGCTCCACCCGTAACCCAGGGGCATTGTGTGGTGTTGTGGCCCTGAAGCCCACCTACGGCCTAGTGTCCAGACATGGCCTCATCCCCCTGGTCAACTCCATGGACGTCCCAGGCATCTTAACCAGGAGTGTCCATGACGCAGCTACAGTCCTGGGTATTCTCCAAGGCCATGATGTCAAAGACTCTACTACCATAACCCATAACCCCTCCACACTGACACACCTACCTGATGACTTTGATATCAAGAACATCTGTGTGGGCATTCCCAAGGTGAGCTTTCCCAATACGCCCAGTAGGATCAGGCTTCTCAGTTCATCCCAGTGGTTTAACATGGAGATTGTTGTTCTGGCTGTGTTGTGTGTCCGTTCCCCCACTGTCAGGAGTACCACGCCCCAGGTCTGTCCCAAGAAACCCTGGCCCAGTGGAGCCGTGTGGCAGACATGTTTGAGCGGGCGGGGGCACGGGTGGAGCAGGTGTCCCTCCCCCACACCCAGCACTCCATCGTCTGCTACCATGTCCTATGTCACACCGAGGTGGCATCCAACATGGCACGCTTTGACGGCCTGGAATATGGTAAAACCAGGTTTCAATATTTAATGCTGCGCACTGAAAATGCCTGAAAATTGCCACTTATAGATTAAGTTGTATTGAATTGAATGGTTCTATCTATCTGACTGTTTGTCTGGCTATGCCATTGTTTGATGATCTATGATGTGAATTTATATAGCTCAGTAAATGAAAGACAAAGGTAATTTGATTTGAAAGCCCAACAAAGTGAAGTTTTCCTTAACATTATATTTATTGTAAACGCCCTATAGCCAGCAAAGCCCATGATGGCCATCTCTGTTTATTTTCATTATCGCTGTATGTGTAGGGAGGCAGGTAGCCTAGCGGTTAGAGCGTTTGGCCAGTAACCAAAGGCTCGCTGGATCGAATACCCGAGCCGACAAGGTGAGACATCTCTTGATGTGCCCTTGAGCAAGCCACTTGACCCTAATTTGCTACAGGAATGTCATACAGCTATGGCTGACCCTGTAAAACAACACATTTCACTGCACCTATCCGGCATATGTGACAATAAAACATATACAAAAAACAACAACATAATATTTATTTACATTTACAAGGGATTTGTCATTGTAAAGCAACATTGATATGATATTATTTGTGAATTGTTCTCCACAGGCCACCGTAGTGGGGTCGACAGTTCAACAGAGGCAATGTACGGCACCACTCGCCACGAGGGATTCAATGATGTTGTACGAGGAAGAATCCTCTCAGGGAACTACTTCCTGCTCAGACAGTAAGATACATCAGACACATTTTCAGTAAAATAAATCACATTTTAATTTCAATAGCTTATTTATAGCTAATATAAAAAAAATACTTCACATTTCTACGACTGTAAGATCGGTGATCATGTTGGGGATGGAAGCATAAATTAGAGTATTTGGACAAAAGTTAAGACGGACTCTCACGGGTTGCCTCCCTCAGGAACTACGAGCACTACTTTGTGAAGGCCCAACAGGTGCGGCGGCTAATAGCGGAGGACTTCAAGCGAGTGTTCAGCTCTGGTGTTGACGTGCTGCTCACGCCCACCACACTGAGTGACGCCATGCGCTACACAGACTTCATGCAGGAAGACAACCGCACACGCAGTGCCCAGGAGGACATTTTCACACAGCCCGTCAACATGGCAGGTACTGAGGACACACACACTCCCCCCACACTTCAAGGGAAATAATGTTAATCTTTTAACTCTCCCTTTTCAAAGGAATTGGGTTTGAATTCATAGTTCGTTCAACCCATTGATTATAAATCAGATAAAGGTCTATCTCAAACAGTTAATCTCCAAAAGGAAAACCGATCACTTTGAGGGCAGTTAAAGCTTCACCCATATTTTATCCTCGCAGCCACTGATCTTCAAACAACCTTACCCTCCCAACCTCTCGACTTTCTCACATTTACCCCTTCAACTCTCTCTATTTCTGCCCCAGGGCTCCCTGCTGTTTCCATGCCAACAGCGTTATCGAAAAGAGGCCTTCCCATTGGCCTGCAGCTGATAGGCCCCATCTTCCAGGACAGGAAGCTGCTGACGGTAGCCCAGTGGATAGAGCAGAAGGTGGGTTTTCCCCACATTCGTTACCATGGAGATGCCGGAGAGGGGGAGATGGGTGAGGAGGTCCATGAGAGAGAGCAGACCTCCGTTGTATGAGGAGAATCATGGACACTAAACTAATGATACAGACCTACTCATGGATGATGGTCAAGGAAAGGACATACTCAGAAATAGCCCGTTTCTGGTTACCCTTCCAGGGTACTACCACCCAATGAACCCACTTAAAGTGATGCTCCAGAACTTTTCTATAATTTCTGTGTACTACGTCATCCATTTCATATGATATGTTATGTTGCAATTTGTATGATATGTTACGAATCCAATTCGTACAATATGTTATGAACTTGTTGTGCTTAAGATCCCAGACTACATCTTTAATGACTTGCTGTTTGTCTGGCAGTTCCAATTGAATTTGTATGAATGACTTAAAAAGATTAGATCATGTCACATCCAGAAGACATATTGTGAACCTGGGCATCGAACATCAGTGGTAAGGTGTGGAGAACACAATACACCCTCATCCTGTTACAATCTTTAACATGGAACACGCAGCCTTCTCTGAGCTGAGGGAAAGGAAATCCATTGCATCACATGCAGTACTATAACTGTTCAATTTGTAATGTTAATAAAGGAACACCATGAAATGTGGTAGTTGACCGTGGCTATTAAATGTTGCTCCCTTGTGTCTGAAGATAAACAGAAACTGTTTCAGTAGTATTTGATTTGTACAGAGAACCCTTTCACATGTTGCATTAGGAGCATGTTTACACATCTGTCTGATTATAATGGACATTATAAATTAGCCTTTATCTTGTGAAATGTGTACTTAAAAGCAACTGCTGTGTGTCTGCAGAGTTTTCAAAAGGCTTTCATCAATATTTGTACTTGAAACTAAAGAACACAAACCCCTTTCCATACACAGTGCAGATAGTACAACTTTACCAGGCAATGTTTACCTTATTATCAGAATATGTTTTGGTAACTTTGAGAATGGTTGTTAATGTGTGCAGCTCCAAACAGTACTCAGGAGAGGGTTGTGAGGAGACTAGTTTGCCTTAGGTTAGGTTACCATACCCTGAGGCACGGTTAGTCACATGGCACAACATAAACACAGAGTAGAAAGTCTGATATAGCTAATTTCATCACCTAAAGGTTACGTTTAGGATTGGGTGTAGGATAATCTAGGCCCGTATTCACAAAGTCTCAGTGTAGGAGTGATGATATAGGATTGGTTTTGCCTGTTAGGGGGGAATTCAGACCTGAACTGTATTCCCTTCTTATGCACTTTTCTTTCTAAGCGTATTCTGACCTTGAATTTACGCATGGGGAAAAGCTAGTGCCAGCAAGGTACGCGTTTGGAGTGGAGATAAAATGTAGTTCTGGCGGAGGTGTGTCTACAGATACTCTGTATTCTGACCTTGACTTAATTCCTTCATGATTCCATCCTCCTTTACGCTCTAGTGGAAAAACATTGAATTAATTGTTTCCAATAGAAGTAACACCATTCTCCATGTACTGTAATTTACTAATTGATGAGTAGGTAAATGAGTAATCCGTTTGGATAAGAGATTGTAAATATAAATGACAATTGTTTAAGATCTATTTTACCATATGATCACTGGAGACAAATGTGAAACCAGTCATATTTCAGCAAACTGAAAAACATGTTAACATGACAGGTATTTTGGTCTCTTTTCCACATTATAAATGGCTGTATTTATTCAGAATTGTATTGTAAGGCCTATGGCTTCATAATTTGTGGGGCTGGAATTTGGAGACCCAAGCCTAGGCTGTAGCCTATATAAACCTGTGTGCACTGACAGCAAGTTTATTTATGCACTTTAGAATGATTTAATTATATGCCCAGATTATTTGTATTTTTTTAAACCATTTCGGTATCCACCGTCAGTAATACCCGCATACATAATAACTGTCACTTTGGTGCAGTGACTGTTAGTTTCCTTCACTTTGTAGCCTTCATTTTGCATCATTCCTGACATCGTTAGTTTACCTTTCTTTCCTCTGTCACATTTGTGTGGTTGTTCCTGAGGATCGCTAGCAATAGTGGATCATATTAGGCTAAGGTATTGCAGGTTGTGCAATTATTGCGGACATGTAGCCTATTTTAATCATTATGGAACGCAGATCATACATAGCAGTTTACACCTGGAGCCTGGGCATGTTTCATGACAAGTGGACCATTGTCATCACAGTTCTGTAATTAGTGAGGATTAGGGTAGATTTAAAGGACTATAATTCAACCGCTATTGTACACTTTTGTCACTTTCCAATATTTCATGGATTGAATAATTTAATATGGCAACTTTCAGGATGAATCAAACAGCATTTTTTATTCACCAATATATTTAGTGTGTAAAGGAGCCACCTCTGCAAAGCCCTTTCTTATCCACCCCTTTCCTACGCACTTCTCAGTAGTTGGTATTTAGACTTACCTTATACAGGTGCGTAACGGGCTTTGCAGGCGTGGTTCCCTTGAGCACTGAATAAATGTAATTCACCCACTGAAAACCCTCCCACTTGCTGGCCAACAGATTTCCTTGTGGAGTTTTCATTCAATAGCTTTTTCAGAACATTTATCTAAAGCCATCCCTTTAAATTTGGAGTACCTTCAGTTTTTTTTTTTTTTTTGACAGACTCACTAGAATATATGGTGAGAGGGGATCTGAATATATGGGATCAATAAAAGAAAGTAATGTAGGCCGAAGTAAACGCATATTCGTCCCCATCCCCTTTCCCATTTTCAGCACTAATTGGTAGATTAAAAAAATACTCTGATCTTGTATATTCTTTTGGGGTTAGGAAAGTATTTATGAATCATAAAAAACAGGTTTGGAGAGCCTTTATGCCCAAAATATATATGTGGGAAAAAAATACAGTGGTTGGTTTGATTCATCCTGAAAGTTGCCATTTTCAATTATTCAATCCATGAAATATTGGAAGCTGAGAAAAATGTACAATAGGGGTTGAACAGTAGTCCTATAAATCTACCCTAATAATGCTCAATAATCATGGAATTGTGATGACAATAGTCCAGTCGTTGTGAAACTTTTGCAAGGCTCCAGGTTTAAACTGCTATGTATGGTGTGGGTGCAAAACATTGTTTTGTTACAGTCTAAAATGCTATGAATATGCTTGAGTTGTATAGCGCTATTAAACTGGTAATTGTCCATTACTGTCTTGTGTTCCTCTTCTCACAGCGCACAAAGGAGTGATGTGCTGCTGGCTCCAGAGGCCTAGCTCAAGGTTGAAATCTTCTTGCAGCTGCATAGGCTTTAAAGAACTCATTACTCCCCTCTCTTAGACATGTGGGCTGTGAGGACTGGTGTACAATGCTTTAAGGAAGTGGAGCCAACTACCCCTTATCTCTCATGTAAGCTGGCCTCCTTTTAGGAGAGGCAAGCAGCTCTTTGTGTAAGAAGAAGTTTATAATGACTGTATGTGACTCTGTAACTTTAAATGTTCCTCTCAGATTCATTTTGAGTGTAATCTCCCTTGCAATTGATTGAATAAACTCTTATTAACTGGATAATGAGTTCTCCCTGATCCTTGGAATGAGTTTTCCTCAACAATGGTCTGCGTTCCATAATAATTCCCAAATTATTGCACAATTTGTAATACGTTAGCCTAATATGATCCACTATTGCTAGCGATCCTCAGGAACAACCACACAAACGTGACACAGGAAAGGGAAACTAACGATGTAATGGAATGATGCAAAATGTAAGGCAACATTAAAGTCAGTGACAGTTCTAAATGTATGTGGGTATAACTGACGGTGGCTATCGATAAAGGCTAATATTTAACACAATACAAATTCTTAAAAAAATTATTTCAAAAGTCCTGGGATATAATTAAAACATTATAGAAATCCTAACTCGGTAGGTTTGGCGCTATACTGTCAATTGCGCATCCCTAGAGAAGCCTATAGCTTGGGCCTCCAAATTTCATTCCAAGTTATAAGGCCTGTATTTCATAAACTTCACTGTGGAAAATGTGAACATCTCATTCCAAAGTCATGGGCATTAATATGGAGTTGGTCCCCCATTTGCTGCTATAACAGCCTCCACTCTTCTGGGAAGGCTTTCCGCTAGATGTTGGAACATTGCCGAGGGGACTTGCTTCCATTCAGCCACAAGAGCATTAGTGAGGTTTGGCACTGACGTTGGGCAATTAGGCCTGGCTCGCAGTCGGCGTTCCAATTAATCCCAAAGGTGTTTGACAGGGTTGAGGTCAGGGCTCTGTGTAGGCCAGTCAAGTTCTTCCACACCGATCTCGACAAACCATTTCTGTATGGACCTCGCATTGTACACAGGGTCATTGTCATGCTGAAACAGGAAAGGGCCTTCCCCAATCTGTTGCCACAAAGTTGGAAGCACAGAATCGTTGAGAATGTCATTGTACAGTGAATTCATAAAGTATTCAGAACCCTTGACTTTTTCCACATTTTGTTACGTTACAGCCTTATTCTAAAATGAATTAAATCGTTTTTCCCCCTCATCAATCTATACACAATACCCCATAATGACAAAGCAAAACACTTTTTTTTAGACATTTTTGCAAATGTATTAAAAATAAAAAACGGAAATATCACATTTACTTAAGTATTCAGACCCTTTACTCAGTACTTTGTTGAAGTACCTTTGGCAGCGATTACAGCCTTGAGTCTTCTTGGCACACCCATATTTGGGGAGTTTCTCTCATTCTTCTCTAAAGATCCTCTCAAGCTCTGTCAGGTTGGATGGGGAGCGTTGCTGCACAGCTATTTTCAGGTCTCTCCAGAGATGTTCGATCGGGTTCAAGTCTGGGCTCTGGCTGGGCCACTCAAGGACATTCAGAGACTTGTCCCGAAGCCACTCCTGCATTGTCTTGGCTGTATGCTTAGGGTCGTTGTCCTGTTGGAAGGTGAACCTTCGCCCCAGTCTGAGGTCCTGAGCGCTCTGGAGCAGCTTTTCATCAAGGATCTCTCTGTACTTTGCTCCGTTCATCTTTCCCTCGACCTTGACTTGTCCCTGCCGCTGAAAAACATCCCCACAGCATGATGCTGCCAACACCATCCTTCGCCGTACGGATGGTGCCAGGTTTCCTTCAGACATGACGCTTGGCATTCCGGACAAAGAGTTAAATCTTGGGTTCATCAGACAGAGAATCTTGTTTCTCATAGTCAGAGTCCTTTAGGTGCCTTTTGGCAAACTCCAAGCGGGCTGTCATGTGCCTTTTACTGAGGAGTGGCTTCCGTCTGGCCACTCTACCATGAATGCCTGATTGGTGGAGTGCTGCAGAGATGGTTGTCCTTCTGGA